TGACAGCGCGCTGTCGGTACCTCTGATGTTCTGATTTTACACTTGCGGCGTCAATAATACTCAGAACGGGTAATTACTAATTTCTGAGGAATCGGTAAATATGCCCAATAAATTTCAAGAATATTACAAAAAAGGACAATTATTTTTAATGAAGTGACGAATTCTAATCGTGCTAAATTGCCACGTGTGACGCACAATCCGCTAAGCTAAGAAAAAAAAATTGGTGAGCTTTTCTCCGCATCCGCTCAAAGGCCGGTGAACTTTTCTCCGCATCTGCCGGTTTTGCGGTGAGCTTTTCTCCGGTGAGCTTTTCTCCACCGCCCGGTCTCGCGGCGTCATCAAAGCTTCCTTGGCACTCCGAGTGCTGTATCTTTGTGCCTTAGCACGCTTGGATACCGATCAAGAATAGACGCTGCACCAAAGTTCTGAACGTGTGTCACGCGTAGATACCTTTAGATCATTTATATATATATATATATCGACCACGGAGTTCTGGATCGTCCAGCTGTGCCGGTGAGTTGCTATCAATAAAAGGGGGCGGGGGATATCTGTACGTGTTCTTATGTACTATTAACCATGGCTATGTTCCGAATGTACTCTAATGGATCACATGGGAGCACGAATAGAGCAAAGCTGTGGAGCAAGGAGGGTTTTCGAAGGCAAAAGTACAAGACGGCGAAAATGAAAATCTTTGAAGCGCGGTCCATATGGTCGTGTGCAATCTGTTGACCAATCACAATTAGCTGACCCGCTCTCAAACGTCAAGTGCAATTAAGTAGGTTGATAATGAGACAGCACTGATCTATGATGAGGAGCTGTTTTGCACAGTATTCTGTAAGTCATCTGAGGACGAAAAAAAGACGTACCTTCCCCCCCTCTTCCGTCGCGACTGGACGCTGGAATAAGCTCGTTTTGGACCACGAGTGCAGGAAGTATACAGTCGTCGGAATAAAGATTCACGAATAAACCTTTTTCGGAATGCTAATTGCTCTCTTGGCTTTCAAGTAAAATCGTTTTTAAGCACTAATCAACTGAAAAGGGGCAGTGGTCCGGCTATTTTCGTTTTGACGGTCTCAAGAGCAGGGTAGCCATCTTGTTTGTTTATGTGAAGTCACGGAGCGCGAAGAAGTCACTGGCGCTCCGAGAAATTCTCGGTGCACGAAGAGCACGCTCGGGTGTCATTCTCCGGTGGCACTCCTGTCCGTTTAGTCAATGGAACGCCAGACTCTTGCGCTTCGGATCACGGACTTAACTTGCCCAATATTCGGGCTATACCTTCCAGCCGTTTGGCGGTTTTTTGGTGGAACCATGTGGCAACACTCTCCGTACCATCTTTGAAATCGGCAACAGCGAGCAACGTGAACGGCGTCACTTACTGGCATTACCAGGCATTACTTTCTGAGAAACAAAAAATGTCCTAAACGTCACACAGTACGAGTACTATCAGCGCCGTCGATAGAACGAAGCAGTCGCCGCACAAACCAGCGAGAACCTGCTCGACAGCAATTACAAAGTCGGTGAGGCATCGCCATGTCGAGGTCAACGAGGAAGGAAAACTCCGCTCAAAAGCCGAGACAGACGAAACGCCAGGCCAGCGAGAGCGCAGCAACGACACTGCCAGCCGAAATGCCGACCAGGAAAGACCGTCTGTGGAACGTGCAGGTCTTCGATAACAGCCTGAAAATGGAGTCACTGCCGGGTGGCCGACTGAGCTTCAAGCTCGAGGCCTCCAACGCCTTGTACACCTGGGTTGTGGACGGACGGGACGGCAGCAACTTCGCCGTGTTCAGCGGCAGCGAAAACATGCCCTTGCCCCTGCACTGGTCACTGCTGCGGGACATCAAACGTTTGTCGCTCTCGGAGGCCCTGGTCATCCACACAAAGTGGATCAAGGCGTACGCGCTGCGGCGTCTTCAGCTGGACCGCGCCATCGGAGGCTGCAAAGAGTTCCTTGCGGACGGCGGGATCGAGGCAGCCGGGGCGTGCAACTACGTCTTGGTCGACCTGTGCCTGGAGATCACGGGCGAGCATGGCCGCCTTGTGCTTGAGCTCTGGTACGAGGACTTCTCCCTGCACCTGGTGCGAAGTCGCCTGACTGTGGACAGGTCCGCCGCCTTCAAGGCGCCCGTCACAGACAAGATGGACGACATCGTGGCCATGCTCGACAGCAACCCTCTCGACGAAGTGTGCCACGCCTTGTTTTCTTAGGACGTTCCCCCTGAGCCCGTGAGCCGTTGATGGACACGTGCGTTCGCTGCCACGTGTTGGTTTGCCCTACGCACTGATGACAAGCAGTTTTCCCTTCCCTCCTCCTCCTCAAAAGCTGCGCTCTAATTCGGCATTACAGGGAGTTTTAAATGACTCACTTTTTTAGCTCTAAACATTGTATACTTAGTTTTTTCAGTGTTTTGTTCTAGTTCATTACATCCCAACCACATACTCAATTCTATTAACCAATTGTTAGTTTTTCCAGCTCTTCTATGTTCATACCAGAAAAAAATCGCATCTCCACGTGGTGAATGATGTTGATTGGGGCGAAGCTCTGGTGGTGCTTGTCTGCGTAGATGCTGAGCCGCAGCATGTCGAGCCTTTCATTCGTTTTCATCCATGTCAGAAAGAGAATGTGTGGTATGGAACGTGGTTATATACACATTTGAGCATTTGACCGCAGCGTGACGTGGATGAAAACGGACGAAAGGCTCGACATGCTGCGGCTCAGCATCTACGCAGACAAGCACCACCAGAGCTTCGCCCCAATCAACATCATTCACCACGTGGAGATGAGATTTTTTTCTGGTATGAACATAGAAGAGCTGGAAAAACTAACAATTGGTTAATAGAATTGAGTATGTGGTTGGGATGTAATGAACTAGAACAAAACACTGAAAAAACTAAGTATACAATGTTTAGAGCTAAAAAAGTGAGTAATTTAAAACTCCCTGTAATGCCGAATTAGAGCGCAGCTTTTGAGGAGGAGGAGGGAAGGGTACTGGGGGGGGGGGTCAACTGACCGGGGGTCACGTCACGTGACTATGACAATGCCGATGATGTCATCAGTGACGATGTGGATACTGATGACGTCATCAGTGACGATGGGAATGTCCGTGAGGTCATCAGTGATGATGACGATGCGGTTGCCGGTGTGACGTCACTGATGACGTCATCAGTGATGATGACGATGCGGATGTCGGTGACGTCACTGATGACGACAACAGTGATGATGACGATGCAGGTGCCGGTGACGTCGTCAGTGACGATGACGTCATCGGGGGAGGGGGGGGGGTCACGTGACCTCGGGGAGGTAGGGGTCACGTGACCCTGGGGGGGGGGAGGCTCACGCGGTGCATTATGGGACATTTCCCATCATGCACCGCGCAGTTACGCCGACGCCGCTCAAGCCGGAAACGGGCGCCTAAGAGCTGCGCTCTAAACTGAAAGCATCAGTCGAGAGCTAAACCCACGATTTAGGCAGAATGAAATTGGTGATGTAATAACCCACGTGTTCTTAGGAGTACTTTCAAGAAAACCTAAATTGGTCCCATCATATTGATCAGATCAGGCCAAACACCTCCTGGGCAGTAGGAACTATAAATAGGCTCAAATATATCCTTCCAGTTTGGTTAAAGCAACAGTTGTACTTCACTCTTGCTCACTCTGGTTTAAGCTATTGTAATTTGGTGTGGGGTAAGTGCTTAAAGACTTGCTAATCCCAGCTGTTTATCTTACAGAAAAGAGCAGTGCGATCAATTGCTAATCTCTCGTATCAGGAACCATAGCGGCTCATATTTTACCAATTACTCCCTACTCTAGAATAATTAGTAATTCAAAAATTGGCAATTTACGTGTTCAACAAAATATAACTGTACCCTCAGTCTGTGCATGAAAATTACATCTCCACACACATTACCTCCCTTCAAGAATATGCGCAAACTATGGTAAACAAAGGATACAAATTGCACAGCTATTTAACAACCACCCTGGTAGACTGTCAATGATTACTAACTCGCAGATTATGTATGTTTAAAACCACCTTCAAAAGGTGAGGTACCTTTTTTGGTACACCATAAATATATTTTTTTTTCTAATGCTCCTTGTTTTTTTTCAGTGTGTTTACTCGGACTGCTTTCTTTTTTCATCCACCGTTATTGTTCTATTTCTTTTCACCGAATGTTCTGCTGCTGGACTGTAGGGAGAGCTGGAGTCTCCTCTGGCGATTCAAATCGCCTTTTGCTTCCTCCTCCTAGGCATTTGTCTGAATAAAGTCTATTACTATTATTTTTATTAATAATCCCTCGGGCTTTATTTTTGTTTTCTATTGAAAGGGCTTTATGATGTTAGCTAGGAGTGATAGCAGTGTCCTGCGTTCAATGTCCCCGTTAGAGCAGGCAGGACACTCCTCGAGCGGTTTGCTCCATGTTGCCCCACGTCCTAAATTAGCTGCCGCGAATGCCTCCAGTCGAGTACTCGCCGGAAAAAGCTGCGCGCTGCCGTGTTAGAGACAAGTGTGATTAGCACTGTTCACCAACAGTATCAGATGGTTGTGAACCTGCAACAGGCAGGTCCACGAGCTCAGTTACACTTGCCCAGGAAGGCACATAAGATGCACCGAGGTGTGCCTTCTCAGTCAGTCTCAAGGGCAGGCAGGCAATCCCAAGGTTCACTGATTAGGAGGATCGGTGCCCGAGTGGGCTAGCACACACAAGCTCGAAGCACGTAGAGTGAAAGTTCGCGCTGCAGAACCCGGGGATTCTGGGTTCAATACCTACCCCTGCCCGTTTTGATCTGGATGAGCATCATACCGGTGTGCGGTCGTGTACCACTATTGCATGGTGCACGTTAAAGACCCCAAGCTAGCAGTTGTACTGCACTGGCTAAATCTCTCACCTACAGCTGAGACACCAGATGCCCATTAGGGCTGACTAACTTCTGGCTGAATAAACATACACACAACACAATTATGATTAGGCTTGCTGACCCTAAACTCGACACTCCTCCTGCAGGCGCAGCACGAGCCTGGTGCCTCTGGGGCGCTGCGTGTCGGCATCCAAGTGCCCCAAGCGGTGCCTGCCCATCCTGGACCCCGTGTGCGGCTCGGACGGTCAGCGGTACCTCAACCACTGCCGCATGCAGGAGGCCAACTGCGGGTACGCCAGGCGCGGACTTCTCTCTCCTTAGCTTCGGCAACACGTAGTAGATGCCCGAGGGCTCTAAACCAAAACCTTTGCGTCAATTCGACACGGTCTAGAGTTGTTACAGATACATTCCTCTGCCTTGCCCCATTTCATAAAGGTGTTGGGAGGGTACGGCTAATTGCTAGGCAACTGTGTTAAGCCACAGTCTATGGCTAATTGCTAGGCAACTGTGTTGCATACATGGAACGTTCTTGCATCACTAACATTTAGCGACACTCCGAGTTTCCAGACGACAAACACCTAAGTCACCGACGCTCTTCATCAAATAGTTTAACGCCTACCATGTGTACACTTCATAGTTGTTCCTAGAATGAAGCGATACTACCGCTAATCAGGCTGATAAACTTGCAATCTTCAAGGGCCTTCTATGCTCTCGAGCTCCTCTGCCTCAGTGCGCACAGGTAGTCGAGCTCCTCCTATGGTTACAGCCTCCCGATCAACTGATATTACGTTGAACACCTCACTCCTCCTCTCCCACTCGTTAACCAATCAGTGTCGAGCCTCGCAACCACGCTTATATCGAGGCTTCACTTTTGAATTATGTAGGAACAATGACTGCAGCTTTAACGTTTGCGATGAAGAGTTCTCTTTGTCTGCATTCCAACCGGCAGCCTACAAATCCAGCGAGCATGGGCTTAGTAGCACTGCGAGTAGGTTTGTATGCCGGTGCCATGGTGTGCTAGGACCTTAGAAATGACACTAGCTCATGCTTACCGGTTTTTGGTAACGTTCTAACGGAGCGCACATCTGTGGATACGATGAGGTTGTGCTGGGTAGTGGAAAATGTTACCTTGCAAAGCAGCAAATGTATTAAAACTTGGGTTTGGGCTAGTTGGTCCATACTGAATAAAAGGTTAAAAAGTGTGAACAAACGAAGACAATGAAGAAACGCGGACGACAGGACAGCCGCCTGTCCTGTCGTCCGTGTTCCTTCATCGTCGTCGTTTGTTCGCGCTTTTTAACCTTTTATTCAGGAAATGTAGAAAACCAGTCGTATGGTTCTAACAATTAAGTGTGAAGCACAAACGGATGTGACCATCTTATTGATATTCTACAGATTTGTGCATGCATTCCCTGAATTTGTACTTTTTGGTTTTGCGACGCTTTTTTGCGGCAACTACCAATTACAGTGATGGAAGTGGCATTTGACCTTTTGTGGCAGGTTTTGTAGCAGGCAAAATATTGGCTTGGAGCAGCCACTGACGCTTTTGGAGCAGATGCCAACATCTGCTAGCTCATTACTTGAAAGTGATGGTTTCTCTTTAAAGTGGAGCTAGAGAAGTTCTTGAAAAAAACTAGTCAAATGTAAATTCTAGAGTATTTTCATCCCATGAATCTGAATATCAGGTTCTTATTCCCCAAGATGGAACTATTAAACGAGAGAAAACACAAAAACCCTCCAATTAGTCGTTACGTCATACCCAGATCTTTCGGCCGCCAAGCGCATGTCGCTCGTGTGAGCAGTGCGTGCAATACCTGTGCAGGTGAATATACCTGGCAGCTTGCCAGGTATATTCACCTGTACTGACACCAGTCATGACTTCTTTTTCGGACCTTTTTGAAAATAACAAGAGTGCACATGCACTCTCGTTATTTGATGGGTGCTTGAGATGTGCGAGAGCGGAGATTTGGAAAACTCTGGGTATGATGTCACGCTCCGGGAAGGCGGCACTTTGAACATGATTTTCTGCAGCCTCTGCGCACCTAATCGAAAAATAATCTCAATATTTGTGATCCTGCAGGTCATATGGCGATGATTTAGGTGATTTTCCCTCAAATACAAACCACTTCAGTTTCCTTTTAATCCTGAAGCATATTACTCATTATAATTTGTAATAAGAATTTAGACAGGACACAAAAAGAACACCAAGCCTTCCTTTTAAAAATAAGGCTCAGGTCAAAGTAGACTCCATCTACAATACATAATTAAAAAAAAAAATTAAAAGTGAAGCATAGCTTAAATGCTGCCAAATAGCCTTATGGCAAACAAATTTCAGTGGATGCCACTGCAAGAACTTTGAGGGCATAACCAGATCTCAACACTCGCTTATTTCGCTGCAGCAATGTGTGCTCCAATGTCCACTAACTTTGCATTTCTTTTCATTGCAGGAAGAATGTTGTTGTCATGCCAAAGGGCTTCTGCTCATAAAAGTCGTCTGCTTCCTGTTGTTGAATTCAATAAAAGTTTGTGTACCAAATGGCATTCTTTTCCAATTGCTCCGTCGGCAATATGTCCCAACTTGGCTGGTACAATGTTCCTCGGCAGTATTATAAATAAGCCAATGAAAAGTGCAGTGAAACTTTTCACAATGGTGTTTTTAGGCAGTGCACTTATCATACGAATATTTGTTTATGGAAAAAAATGCTAAAAGACCTGCTGAAGGGGCTAGCCCTTCGTAATTTATTTACAATATTTACAACTCTACTATAGCTTCCTTGCCATCTGGGAATGTTCTTGTAGTAGTTGCGATGGCATCGGCTGGCGGAGGTGTGTGCCGTTGACCGATGCCGCTGATCGTTCTCTCATGCCATGCCTCGCGTAATGTGCGCGTGTCGTCTTTGTGCGTGCGACCTTGTTGTCTTCTTTCTGGGCGCCGTTTTGGTGGTCAATACACTGCTATTTGTATGCACAGGGAGAGAAACAAACTGTTTGGCTGACACTGCTGCTTGCACATGGTACCCCATAGAATTAAAACTTCAAAGTTTTTTTTGTAGACACAAACGCCAAAAAGCAGGTTAGCAGAGTGCATGAGGTACCATTTGTGAAGGGCAGTGCCAACCAGGTACTTTGTTTGCTTTACTCTCACTTTATAAAAAGTTTATCTTTCCTTAAACTTTTTTTGACCAGAAACCTACACCTACGAGTCTGACAAATGCGTCACCTAAAGACATTTTTGCAGAAATTGTCATTGCAGTCTGTTCATTGGCTTAATAGCTATTTTTACAATTGACAAGCGCTTGGGAACACTTTGTGGAACTGCTGGTTCCTAAGAAAATGCACAGGTAAAAAAGCTTCCAGAAGACCACCGAGAGTTTAAAAAAATAAAAGTACACCGAACTAACAATTTTGTCCCAATATCATTGTAGGAAACTTATATTGCCCAGCTAAAAGATAACCTTCAAATATAAAATAAGCAGCATCAAAAAAGAGAAAGGACAAAGTTTAAACGGACAGCATTTGTTTCGTCCACATCATTCTCTTCTCTGCGTCACTGTTTCAGTCTCTATGCAAAGGTACACACCAAATCAGTTAAGTTTCGACCCTAAAAGCATTGCCAATGTGCTGGAACGTGTTTTGTCCCTGGTGCCATAGCAGTCAAATATGAACATTCAACGCTAATAAACACAAACAAACTGCCATAAAGCAGCAACGTTTCCGTTGAGAATAACCGTGGTTATAACGTTTCTCCCGAATCGACCTGGGATGAGTGTTAAGTGGCCTGCGTCGGCACCATGAGGATACAACCGGCACTCGGAAAGGCAGGCAAAGACCTCAAGTTTATTTATAGGCTCGGTGGTGCTCTCGTGAGGTGGCCTTCAATCCTGGTAGAACTTTGGTATCTCATCTCCCGTGAGCACCTTGCGCTCCACGCCGTCCTTCGTGATCACAGCCAGCCGGATCACCCCGCCGCTCGATCCGTCCCGGTACATGGCCAGACCCAGCGCTGCGGGAGTTAACACAATGATTCAGCAAAAATGTAACGTAGACTACAAACAACCGCCATCACGCACCCACCACTTCAGATCGCTAAGCGGATCTACCGAGAAAGGCAGTAGCCGCGACGAGTTGCACGACGTCAGCGCAATGCATGCTTCGATAACAGACTATTTGTCCAGAACTGCCAAAAGTGAAGCGGGATTTCAGAAAGCCCAGGGCTACGAGCAACCCCACTTGCTCAAGCTACCTCATGCTATCTTGCTTGACCTCTTGCACGATATCTACATTTACCCGGCCGTGCTCAAAGTATTTTTGCTGATAAGCAGATGGAGTGCATTTTGCATTACAAGTATGTCGTAGAAGGGGAAGGTCAGTTGTTTCGGTAATAAAAAGACCAACAAAAGTTACCATACCTGAGACAAATGATCTCCCCGGAGGAGAACAAATATATAGCTTGTGTCATAAAATAGTGTTGCGAAACAGTTTTGGAAAAACCATTGTGGAAATAAAAGCTAGCGAAACATAATAGGCAGTCAGTCAAGTAAAGACAATTCCATTCCCTATACTACAAATGGTACTCCTGGGAAAGGTAGTCTACTCAAAACCCACCACAGTGCGGTGCATGCATGCTGGTGTCTACGCAGTAACAGGTATTGTCACCAGTGCGCAAGCACAACAAACTACCATTAGAGAGCACTTCAACTTTGCTTCTCTTTATCCACATGTTCTATACATACATCGGTCCTTACCGTGAAGAGGTTTGGCTACAGAACAGTGAAGCGGTCAAGCGTAGAAAAACAGAAGAAGTCCTTCAGTACGGGTATTGTCACCAGTGTGCAAAAATGAGACTACCATTACAGTGCACTTCAACTCTACTTCACTACACCCACATCTTCAATACATACATCGGTCCTCACCATGAAGAGGTTTGGCCACAGAAGTTAACAGTGAAGTGGTCAAGAGTAGAAAGACAGAAGTCCTTCAGTGCCTTACAATGTTGAGACTATGCCAGCTACTCATTACAAAGGTAATGCTACCTTTGTAATGAATGAATTTAAATCATTACAAAGATCTAGCTTATTTAACCAAATGCACCAAAACAGATACAAGTAAAAAAAATTCCAAGGACAGCCAAGCACTTCTTAAGAGTTGTAAATGGGAAAGCATTCTCAGTGCCAAAAGGAGCAGAAGCGGCCGCAGCGCCGGCAGGAAGCCGAGCGGTGTGCCGTGTAGACTGCCCTGGTTCGCTGGTGACTGCTGCGCTGCTGGGTGAGGCAGTGGCGGGAGTTTGAAACTCGGCGCGACGCGTGCCAAAATTACGTGTCCTCTCATCATCATCATCGCCGTAACTGCGGGTACCGGTTGACGACGTTTGACCTCGGAGCGTAACATTAGGCCTAATGTCAGGCCAGTGCATGCCGGCGTCCCCCCCTCACGTCAAACAGCTGCACATACTGGTTGATGACGTTAGGCCTGAAAACGTAACCATAGGCGTGACGTTATGCCTAACGTCAGGCCCACGCATACCCACGTCCCCTTCCCGCTGCGCCGCCAGCAGTTGGGCTGGGTCCTTAGCAACGATGACGCCGTTGCTAGGGAGCTACATGACGCGTCGCAGCCAATGAAAATTTACGTGCCGTTTTTCTGCTGCAGATGGCTACAGACAATGCCGGCTTCGCTCCATGGGACAGTTAATGCTTTCGCATTAATACCTTGATTTTTGTGTAACATAAAAACTCAGCAGACCTTGGAGGCTTCGAACCGAAACACCACATCCAAATGTCTCGTCGCAAACCAAAAAATATGTAAGCAATAAAAAGAAAGAAAAAAGACGACGTTGGTGCTTTAGCGTCCCCAAAATCCGCCAACAGCGCAAAGAACCCACTCGAGGCATTCAACCTCCACAGCTCGGAAAAAGGGCTTTAGTGAGAAGACGGATGCACTCACTGTTAGTGACGAACTCCAGGCACTCTTCTTTAGTCATGCCCTTCTTAAAGTGGGCGTCTACGTAGCCATACACGTAGGTGCTGCCGGAGCCACCCATGGCCACGGGCTGCCTAAGCATCATGCCACCCAGCGGGATCACGTACACCTGCACAACACCAGGGAATCTGCTGACATAGCTTCTCATGAGCTGCCATTCAAGGAAGTATTTGTGCCACAAGAATAAACTGCACTCTCGAAGAGCTCCAACCGTGCCAGAATGCGGCGCTGGCGGCCGGGATCAGATGTGAGCACATCGAGCCCATGGTAGGTGTAAAACTGTTTTCACCTACTGGAGGTTGTAGTCGGATGGCAGAAGCAGACGGAGTAACCCCGCTTTCCCGCCGTGTTGCTCGGGTAGCGCCACCGTCGACGTAGAGCGGTACTGCGCAGCCATGAGAATGGAGGCAGACGCCATTTGCTTCTGCACTTACGTCTGCTCGTCGTCGGCTACGGCGGCACCCGGAAGGTACGGCGAAAAACCGGGGTATTCCGTCCGTGTTTCTGCCACCCAACAACAGCCCTAGCCAACCTCATAGACAAAATCAGTTTTTTGCATGCAGCATTTTAACGGTAAGGTTTGAATCTTTGTCATCTCGTCCCAGTTGTAACGATCCGAAAGAGCCCGAGCAATTGGCGGCGCAGGGTTCATTTTCGTGGCAAACAAAGACTGTTTCCGTTTACTGTCCCCCACGACCGCAGAACATAAGCGGTCGGCCAGGCGCGTGGAAGACGCGAGAGACGGGACGGACCTGTCCGCCCTTCTTGCGGTCCCAGCCTGCGCAGATGATCCCCGCCAGGAGCTGGTCGCGGTAGTTGTAGCACAGCTCTCGGAACACGCTGGCCGCCGTCTCCACCTGTGGTGGCTCGCCGAGCTCCATCCTGGAAAGACGACGGTTGTACTCGGCAAAGAAATTAAAAATCTCGACGACGAGTGAAATGTCCGACTTGGGAATGCGTCTGACACGTCGCTCCTGAGCGGGGTGTCGTTCGTGCAAAGCACACCTGCCTGCTACTGGCGAGCCTTTACAGCTTTTCAGTCGCCGGCAAGCCCAGTTTATCTGCACGCCTGTTTCGGCCCACAATGGGAGCACTTGAAGCGAGGAGAGGCACCTTTACCCGAGACGTGCAAACGAGGAAGCAAATAAAACAAAAAAAAAGAACTTTCAGCCTTTCCACTCTGGTGAAGAAGGAAGACCAGCGAAGCTGTTTGCTTGTCCCGTGTGTTTCTTCTTTGTCCTCGTCCGTTTTGCGCACTGTTTCCTACGATAAATTCTCACCAACTCGCCCAACTATCCATTCTTCTATGATAGCTGGAAAGGTCGCCGCCATCTATGAGCGACGGCGGCAACCAGACTGGTTTCTGGTTGCCGCCGTCGCTTATAAATAGCGGTACCTGTCCAGAGTTTTGAGTAGTTTTCTGTCGACATTTGTTTGGTACCGGACACGAAACTGGGGAAACTAACCCTTAAAGGACACATGCAAAGGAAAAATGAATTTTTTTTGAACAGCCAGGTTGGGAAAAGGAAGTCATAAAACAAATTTACAATGAAAAAGAAAAATTTTTAGAGCTATATTTACGGCGCTATACAAATTTGTAGTTGGCGCCTGCGGATGCCGCGGAAAAGTGGCCGCTATTTATCACGTGGTACTTGCACTCTTTCAGAAGCTTCCTATGGTCTTGAAAAGTTACTTATTCATCTTCGTTCGAAGTGCAACAAAAAACAAAGATTAACAAGCAACTTTTCTGAGCCCAAAGGAAGCTCCTGAAAAAGCGCAAGCAGACGTGATAGACGGCGGCGTCCCGGAGCACACAAACTTAAGCGGCGGCGGCGACTTGGAGAAACGCCATTGAAGCAGCGGCACACGACGCTCAGCGTGCGGCGGCGGATAGGTCTACCACTAGACCAGCAACAGCTCCCGCGGGCACCAACTACACATTCGTTTTGCGCCGTAAATATTGCTCTAAAATTCTCACCAACTCGCCCAACTATCCATTCTTCTATGATAGCTGGAAAGGTCGCCGCCATCTATGAGCGACGGCGGCAACCAGACTGGTTTCTGGTTGCCGCCGTCGCTTATAAATAGCGGTACCTGTCCAGAGTTTTGAGTAGTTTTCTGTCGACATTTGTTTGGTACCGGACACGAAACTGGGGAAACTAACCCTTAAAGGACACATGCAAAGGAAAAATAAATTTTTTTTGAACAGCCAGGTTGGGAAAAGGAAGTCATAAAACAAATTTACAATGAAAAAGAAAAATTTTTAGAGCTATATTTACGGCGCTATACAAATTTGTAGTTGGCGCCTGCGGATGCCGCGGAAAAGTGGCCGCTATTTATCACGTGGTACTTGCACTCTTTCAGAAGCTTCCTATGGTCTTGAAAAGTTACTTATTCATCTTCGTTCGAAGTGCAACAAAAAACAAAGATTAACAAGCAACTTTTCTGAGCCCAAAGGAAGCTCCTGAAAAAGCGCAAGCAGACGTGATAGACGGCGGCGTCCCGGAGCACACAAACTTAAGCGGCGGCGGCGACTTGGAGAAACGCCATTGAAGCAGCGGCACACGACGCTCAGCGTGCGGCGGCGGATAGGTCTACCACGTGACCAGCAACAGCTCCCGCGGGCACCAACTACACATTCGTTTTGCGCCGTAAATATTGCTCTAAAATTTTTTTTCCTTCTTTGTAAATTTGTTTTATAACATTCTTTCTCCATCTAGGCTGTTTAAAAGAAATGTTTTTTTCCTTTGCATGTGTTCATTTACAGTTCAACTGTAAAAAAATAAATGAAGGACCTCGAGCACAAATAATGTTACAGCGCCTGGAAGGTGGCCGCAAACAGCCTGTTTACAGTGTTAAAAAAACAATCCCTCAATTTCGGCCCGACAACGCAACAGAAGCATTGCATCGTCGCCGGCCATGGAGAAGCGTTTCGGGCACTGCGGTAATGCAGCACACTCGAGCGCCGGCAAGACGAAGGGCCCCCTAACCCCCTCTTGAGGACGACGCAGAGCAGAGGACTGCGAGGCACTCACTCGTAGAAGCCAAGGTGGTAAGCCACGATGTCGGTGATGGCCTGGGTGTCGGCCGAAGACCCCGCCCGGCAGCAGTAGATGCGGTCCGTCACGCGGGTCAGCTTGTCCGAGACCCGGTTGGCCACGTAAGCCCTGAACAAGGAGCAGAGGGACGGTTCATGCAACCGGGTTGCACACCACGCACAAACTGCTTGCTTCGTACATCCAGTAAAATGGGGACTGCACTAAAGGCTCCTTTGCACACAGGCATTTCCTTAGGACCGAGCTCTTCTTTCATGAACATGCCACTGCCATTGTGAGCCCAACCTGGAACTGCATTCCTCTAGAGCGAAAGTTTTGCAGTACTTGCAAGATTGACTGAACATAGAAAAGATTGTTCATAACATTGTCAAAAGTTTTCCCAACAAAAAAACAAAAAATGACGCGCAAACAAAAAGAAAACAACAATATACGGACTCTGAAAGTGTTCCACAGCTACCCAATAGATGCCGTCAATATGTTCTCAGTTTTAAGAGATTTTAGGGGCCTTTAAGGCACACGGTCGTAAGCAGTTGTTAGTGTGTGAGCTAGTCTTAAAGGGGCAGTGCAACGACAACAACGTCAAAAGAATTCGCAGCTTGTATTTTGTATATCGTTCATCTAGGCAGAAGTGAGAAAAAAAATTTGCCACCTTCCCCCCAAAAATTGCCATTTTGCTGTGTAATCAGAAGAGAACAAACTAATTATCTGCAATCTGCAGCCGCGTGTGGCAGTTATGGGAACTATGCTGTCGCGTCGGTGGCGGTACACGGAAGTCAACAAAACCAGTCCCCCTCTGCTGCTACACTCGCTGTCGGCCCCGTGGCGAACCGCCTCTTGTCTCGATCGCTCGCTGCGACCTTCGGCGATGCTAATCCTCGCAAAATGGACTATAGTGGAGGGAGTGGCTGGGGGCTCTGAAGACGGAACCCAGGTGGTCCCTCAGTGAAGTCACTCTAAAAACGGGGTACTTTACTTTCAAGTTGTTTCATTTTATAAAATAAAAACTAGCCCGTGCAAAAAAAAAAGATTTTCTAATCTTTGTGTTACGGATTGTGCAAATTAATTCCCACAGCTAATTGGTCAAAGGCCAGAAATCGTTGCACCACCCCTTTAAGAATGGACTGTGGTGATGGTGAGCTTTTGCGTGGGACTGTTCTGCAGTAATGCAGTACTTGAAGCAATCCTCTATCGACACATTGCCATCTCGGGAGAAACCGTAAGCCTCATCCACTGGGGAAAGTGGAACTATTTATATTTACTAGCTTCATATACACACACTACTGGGTGAGTAATTAATAATGGCGTAAAAAATCAGAACAACCGGGTAAACTAAAAAAAAAGTTTAAAAACGTCAAATAAAAGAGCATTGTTTTTCAAGCTTTCTGTTCTGAAACTGATGCAAAATCACCTCTCAAGGATATCACACCCCATTTGGGGAAGGACAAAAACAAATCACGTTTAAGTTATGTTTTTTGTAGTAATGTATGAAAGAGACTCCTTCAAAAGCTGCCTTTTTGACCGAGCTGAATCCGAAACATTTAATAAAACCATGAATTTAGTCTAGCTTTCTTAATTCTTTTTTTTTACGAACACTAGCAATGTTATCAGACATACATTGATCAAACCAAGCGCTTGTTGGAAACAGACATCTTAATGAGTAAAGCTATACACACAAGCTCATGCACTTCGACCGGAAAGGCTATACATGCCTTGCACGTGACGTCATATGGCACCCGTACCAGCCGCCTGCCATTGCTCCATACCATGCACCTGTTTCTGTACCTTGTGAGACATACATTTCGGACCACTGAATCGGTTTTTTTTTTCGGCAAGCCCTGTTGAGAGGACAAATTCAATGGTGCCAAATGTACGCTGAGGAAGGTACGAAAACAGGAGCATGGTACGGAGAAATGGCAGCTGATGTGACGTCAATGCAAGCCATGTGTATGCAGGACGCAAAACTTGTATAAAACCAATGGTTACGAGTTTCCGAAGCGGTAGCGTAGCTTAGTGGTAAGGTGCCTGCTTCTTATGCAGCAGACCCCGATTCAATCCACAAGGTTGGCCTACTTTTTCTTTTTTCTTCTTAAATATTTTTTTGAGAGTGAGCATTTGAAGATATTTACATTTCTTTTCTTTACAATTTACACTGAAAAAAGCGAATGTTGTCGACGAAACGTCGCTGAATAAATTGGTATGGGACTCTCTTTCCGGAGGTGCAATGGGGGAAAGCGGAAAGGTTGCCGGCTGGATGCCGCGAAGCGGTTTGTGTGTGTGTGTGTGTGTGTGTGGGGGGGGGGCAAGTGGGTTAATAGTTTTGTAATGAGCAGCCGCAGACTGTCACCGCGAAGCACGCTCCCCTGTGATACACGCGCCGTCCGAAAAGGGTGACCAAAATGGCAAAAGCTCTCCGCGTCGAGCTCGTGCGTGTAGCTATACTCAATATTAATACTGACTGCGAAGAATGCAGGTTGAACAACGTACCCGGTAGTCGTACGTGAGTCAGCACCCAGTACAACACCGCCGTCAAACTCCACGGCTATGGTAGACGTCTGGAAATGAAAGAATTCCTTAGATTAGGCATCTACTCCCCAGACGGAGTGGACAGAAAGAGTAATGGGGAAAACTCGCCATAAAGGCAGCGGCATGACGATGAAACGACGCAATCGACAAGCATACACTTCTGTCTCCCGTCGCTTTTGTTACAAAGCGGCACTTCGTATGAGGCACAAAGACATACTTACTCCAGTACTGTGCTCCGCTTTTAAAAAGTCTGGAACAACATCGCTCAAATCGGGGCAATTAAATGCGTTCATATTGAATTGAGAATGACCCAACACATTCGAGTACGCCATCTTTGAAACTAACGTCGATAGCACTGCGGCGCCGCGGCTAAACGCTAAACCGCTAGTGCGGGTTATATTCCTAACAAGCGTGTTGGTAAAGTTTACAAGATAACAAAAAAAAAATAAAACCTAAAGAGATTGAAACACAGACGAGTACATAGTGTACTCGTTTGTGTTTTATCCTCTCTGTGTTTTATTTTTTCGGTTATCTGATATCCAAACTCGTCGCATTTGCGGCAGTCTGATCACCACCTGCGGAATCTGAACATGGACGCTGCCAGCCGCGGGTCGCACTGGTTCTGGTTTTGCAGCTGTGCCGCTGCTGTAATCAAATTAGCGGCTACACCCGATCGCGCTATCTTCGAGGCACTTTTTCGAAGCGAATCGTCGAACGTCGGCTAGCCGCCAAGCCTCCTAAGCGTCCCGGCCGCCGTCAACCACGTATCGACGTGGGGGTCCCTTTCGAGGTCGCAGCAGTCTGCATTCAAGGTAACACGAAACCATTGTTTTTGCGCTTTGTTTTCATTTGGTTTGGAGTTTCTTTTTTTAAACGGCCTCCCTGATGTCAACAGCGGCTTGGCGTGAACTCGCTCTCAAAACGCTTTGTTATCTAACTTCTGTTTGATTATCATCAGAGTGTCCGATATGGAACTGGGAATGCGTTTGTTGTTTTGTCTGCAGGTGTTCGGGGGAGAGGTTCCCGCGCGGAGTCCGGACTGAAGATTCGCGCTCGGTTTTGGACTCGTGCTCGGTTTCGTCGGCGCGGTCATGGACGCGCTGCTCAAAGAGGCGCTCGGAACGACCAAGCTGCGGGCGACGGGCCGCGGAGGCAGCGGCTGCATCAACCAGGGCGAATGTTTCGAGACGGACTCCGGTTACGTTTTCATCAAGCGCAACTCCAAGGATAGGGTGAGAGAGCAGCAAAGGCTCGGTTATTTACTCGTCATTCGGTATATAATCTTCCGCGCGAAGTAATATTCTTGTCGGTTTGTTTTAAGGCGAGGCAAATGTTCGACGGCGAGTTCGCGGCGTTGACGGCAATCCTCAAGACGAACACGGTTCGAGTGCCGGCGCCGATCGCGGTGAGTACCACAGAGTACCTAAAAAAGTAGTGACAATCATGTTTTCTTTTTTTGTTTTGTTTTTTGTGTACAGCCTTAAAAATGGTGTTCTTTTATATCGTATGTGTCTAACACCAGCAACAGTGGGAATGTGACAAAAATTTAAATTATTTATTTTTTTAGGCAAATTTAAATGGGGGTTTCAACGAATTTCTTTCTCTATCTTGTTTATAACTTTTTGCATAGGCTTCCTTTGCCACATTGAAACAAAAACAAAAATCAGCAAAATAAACATGTATATTTTTTGCGTGACGCCAGTCCCCAATTCTCTTTCTGGTGGCCAGAAGCGTTCATTCATTAATACTTTCTTGGCGAGAAAGCCTGCTTTCCTGCATCACTAAAGAAGGCTATACCGTAGACCACAGATTGTGCGTCAACGTTCGGCTGGTACTCGTGTCGAAACATTGCTAGCCGAACGCTGATGCCGTGTGCAGTCTCTGGCCTTCCTTTATTATTGATGCACAAAAGCACTTGGGCTTTCCTGTCTAGGAGGTGTTGGGTTTACGCAGCGGAAGCTACCCCTTCGCGCGCCCTTTACCCAATCATTTCTGACCTAGTTACATCAGTGCAAGCTGTGTTACAGTGTCCCCCCCCGCCCCTTTCCCCTTCCCTCCCCAAAAAAATTCAATGTTCTTTTAATTTTTTTTATTGCGAATATAAACTATGCATTGTTGAACGATCATTCTCCGCCCAAATGTAGCGTCAGCGGTCCGAACCAGACACCGTCCCAGAACGAACCATTATCGCTTAAAAAGAAAAGTGGTTTTCTGAAATTTTTAGTGAAAAAATGGTGGCCGACTGAGCTTTCACATGCATGGATCTGAATTTATTTATTTGAAAATGCTGTTAGCCCTTTTCGTGAGGGCCATTACAGGGGAGCCCGAGTGACCAAAAAATGTGCCAGAATGCAAGAAAAATGCTGTCTTCTACAGACAGGGCTCGTAAAAATTGAAAAGCAGAAACAACACTACATATTAATTTTCTAAAAAAAAAAAAGAAAAAAAGCACGCAGCAACAAAAAACACGGCGAAACAAATTGAAAACAATCTATCATTATATGTATCTTGATTCTCGCCAACTCACCGAACTCACCACTTTGCTGTATCAGATAAAAAGAAGCGGTTTGCGTTTTTGTTCATTTAACGGTGCAGCGATGGAATGCTCGAAGAAGGACATTGTTTCCATATTCACAATCTGATTCGGCAGCAAATTCCGAGTCTCAGTGGTCTTCACAAAAAAGGATTGCCTAGAGGTGTCTATTTGACTTTTGTAAGTTTGGGCTGTTCCGCTGTGATTTAATCGGCCCGATCGTTTTGAGGTTCAGGGTCGATCGCATAACTTTGAATTCAAATTTAGTTTGTCGTTGATCATTGAAAAATGATTTGTCTTAATGGCATCAGTTTCCTGAAAACGGAAAAAACAATCCCCTTTTCCCATTGGAGTTTTCAGAAAGTCACTTATAACTTTTTAATGAGATAACAGTTTGTTCTGAAACTTTGGCATCTGGTCTGAACAGCTACAAATACATTTGGGCGGAGAATGAGCGTTTGGCAATGCATAGTTTAGTTTTGCAATAAACAAAGATACTAGAATTCTTTCTTTTTTTTGGTGGGGTGGGGGGAGGGATACGCTGTATATATATTAAGTGTACACGTGGCAGTCTAGCAGTGGCATAGACACTGGTGTGCTCAATATAAATGTTTTTTTTTCTCAATATTTTCGTCAAAACCGTACAAGTTATATTACTGTGAACATGAGTCATAGTACACTTTGCGTAGCTCCAAGTGTATGATCTGTACTAGGCTTGGTGCAGCGACCAAACAGGAGCAACCACATATTTTATTTTTCATACCGAGACACTTGCCATTATCTGTTGTTGCCCTCTGCCATTATCGTGTCACAGACAAATACAGAAAACCAGAACCTAGGTTTGTTTTATTGCCTGCTGCTTACAACTGAAATGAGTTTGTAGTGGCACGGGCCAAGTACTGATGATTGTAATTAAGTGTTTTGCTCTCGGTCACTGATTGTGCTTGTCGCAACGTGCAAAAGAAGATAACATTCTTGTTGAAAGCTTTCTTCGGTGCTTGTTTTCAAAGCACTATTCAAAAAGAAAAAAGCTGCCCTATAATATTGACAACTATGGGAATATTGTAACTTCAACTTGGATCAAAGTAGAATCGAATAGTGTTGAATAGTGGCCAAAAAGTCAATTGTCAAATTAAATACAACTACCAAAAAAATATTTCCCAGTGTTAACAAGACTAAAAAATAAAATGCTAACATCATAAAAAAAAAAAAAGAAAAAAAGTAATGGGCTTATTTTTCAGCAGGGCACACGGAATGAAGAAAGGCTAGCCAGAATAAAAGCAATGTTAGAAGTCAAAGTTGGGGGTTTTACGTGCAAAACTAAGAACAGGCGTCTGGTACACCGAAGCAGAGGACTGAGGTTCAATTTCGATCACCTGGGGATCTTCTGACGTGCAATTGAAGTCTCGATTAAACGGCGACTTCTCCCGGGAGCGAAGAGTTAGCGGAAGAAATCGGTTCAGTTATCGCCATTATTTGTATTTTGATAAGAATTTTTCATATTATAGACGTAACAAACGAAATAGGATTATTGTGCACTGAGCTGACTGCAGGTGACGTAAGATGCTTGAATTCAAAATGACAACATGCGTGATTTAGAGGTTTTTGTCGGGAGCATCCTTAAGAGGATATCGCAGCTGAATTAGAACAAGTTCTAGAAAGCGTGCTGTTTAGAAAATGCAAAAATCGGGGTAAAAGGCAGTGCGAGGAAGAATGGCCCGAGGCACTTAGCACGATCTCAGAAGCAACAGATCCTCAAGTGTACTCAGGGAGACGCGAGACCCCTGTTCTAATAAAATAAACTTGAGCGCCGAGAATGTCCGCTTCACGCTGACCTGTGTGGACAATATACCAAGGGTATAATTACGCGAAAGTGTACAGTTTTGACTGGTGCTCCATTCGTTTTTCCCAAAATTTCAACACATTCATGGTTCTTCGAGGGCGTACGTGGCTCCTTATCCAGCATTTTGAGCCGTAGCTCCTTATCCAGCATTTTGAGCCATGTCCAATGGGCCTAGCTCATTTGTTAAATGTGGGCGCACCAACCTCAGCTTCTTTTCTTCTTGAGGAACACTTCCAATGAATCTTCTGCTTCCTCTGGGGACCAGGAGATACTGGAATACTTGAACTTTTCTCTTCAGCCGAAATCTCCTAAGAAAATATTTTCGGCTTTATTCTGGTACAAAATATTAAATTATGTTTCGACTATGTTTCCCTTCCGCCTAAAATATTGTTCTTTTGTTTTTTTTCGTCCTGTTCCGATACCCTGCTACAAACATTGCTCACCGCCTCTGCGCTGCCATGCCGGCACTACTCGGATCAAATAGTACGAGCCCTGAGCAACCAAGACAACGGCGACTCAAACACTACAAAAGAAAAAAAAAGACAGACTGAAGCCAGTGGCGTAGCCAGGGAAGGGGCTTATGGGGCTTCAACCACCCCCTTCCTCCTCCGCCTGCTCTCCTCCCCAGCACCCCAAGTCATGGACTCCCCACCCACCTCAGCCCCCCTCGAAAAAATTCTGCCCCCCTCGGAAAAATTCCTTCACCACTGACTCGAGCAGACAATACGCAACATTACACGGAGAAAAATGAAAGACGTTTACAAATCTCTCTAACGCGAAATTAGGGCGCAGCTCTTGAGGAGGAAGAGGGAAGGGTATTCCCCTCCTACCCCTCCTCCTTCTTTCTTCCTCCTCCGTACCTTCCCATCCTCCCTCTCCATGCCCTCCCCTCCTCCCGCAGTTTCCCCACTAAATTTAGCTGAAAAATTGATGTCACTTGACCTCAACAGCAATTCAGTTCCCTGCTAAATTTAGTGGGGAATTGAGTTGCTGTTGAGGTCACGTGACGTCAATTGTCCTTCTAAATCTAGCGGAGAAACTGATTTTGTTTATAGGTGACGTGACACCAAGTCATGTGACGTCATTTTTAGCCGCTAAATTTAGCAGGGAAACTGAATTGGTGTTGAGGTCATGTGACATCAATTTTCCCGCTAAATTTATCGCAGTTACATTGATGCCGCAAAACACAGAAACAAGCACCTAAAAACTGCGCTCTAAAACTAAAAAAAAAAGATTATGACCCTCCACAAAAAAGAAAAGTGTAATCACTTTTACACTTTCATACACAGCGTTTGCAAAAACCAGGGGCTCAAACTGAAAAATATAATGTTTCAGTTACGGTTATGGTTACCGTTTTCTGTTGATATCGGTTTCATTTCAATGTTTTACAATTTTTATGTTTACGGTTTCGGTTACCAATTACACACTCCTAAAAACCTTTTTTTTTTTAGGTTTCTCCAGTAATTTGTTTTATTGAAATGCTAGACAGCCGTTTTATAATAAACAGTTTAAATTAGTCCCAGATATCCAATAACGGGGCATTCGCAATAACAAAAACTCAAAAATGTCTTAGTACTTCTAATTGGTCAAAAGTTGCACACGTATGTAGCTCCAACACTTTTTTATTTATTTATTTATTTATTTATTTTACCCTCAGGGCCAGGAGCATTACAGAGAAGAGTGGTAGAAATAAACAAAAGAAACAACATGGAACAACAGTAGAACAAAACTTAGAGAATGGGGAAAACATGATTACTAACACTTGTATGAAACAGATCACAATGAACAATTGATGCAAGTGATGAAGGTAACTGATTCCATTCTTTTGTGACTCTCGGAATAAATGAGTTAAAATATTTATTTTAGCGGCAAGCTGGAACACCTACTTTGTGTTGGTGATCTGGACGAGCTGAAAGGAATGATGGTGGGGTGAATAGCTGATTTCTGAAAACCGGGTTGTGGTGGAATATTTTGTGAAAAAGACAAATGCTAGTAATTCTGCGGCGATGTGCAAGGCTGGGTAGAAGTA